AGACTCAAATATCAACACTATTTACAGCCAATCAACCAATAAAACAAAAATGTTTCTCAATTATAAAGCAAGACACCCAAAGTTTAGCTGACCATGTGCACACTTTCATCAATTTCAATGTGTCAAATTAGCCAGATTAGGATATTGTCCTTTCCAAAGCCCAAATTTTAATTAATTAAGTTCTTATAATAGATAAGAGATTTTGATAAATGGTACATTAAGTATTAGTAATCTTGCATTTTGATAGCTTAACTCGATCTTCAAATGAAACAAATCAAAATCATTACTATACGTGTATTTTTGGGACGTCCCACAAAAGAAAGATCTCAAAGTTTTAAGGGACGAAAGGAGTATTATTCACACTACAAAAAAAATCGCCTGTAGTCACGGACCGTAGTCACGGATTTGGTCCGTGACTAGTTAGTCACGGTTCTAATCACGGTTTAGTCACGGAACGATTAAAAAAAAGTAGTCACGGATTTTTCCGTGACTACGTCTGTGACTATATGTAGTGACGGACCTAGTCCGTGACTAAAGTGTTCCGGCCAACCCATTTTCACCTCCGGCGGGATTTTTTTAAATTTGAAATTAGTCACGGATGGTTCCGTGACTAGTACCGTGACTACATGTAGTCACGGACGTGTCCGTGACTAATTCCGTGACAAGTGCGAAATTGATTTTTTCAACGTTCCAAATTTAAAGTGCACCGACAATTCGTACAAAAAAAATGTAGTCACGGACACATCCGTGACTAAGTCCGTGACTACAAATTTTATATATGCAGCCTCCGCTTCATTCAACAAAATCACACCATCTACTCCAGATAGAATTCCAGATAGAATTGAAGGATGTAATCTACTGATGAACTGATGACATGGTGAAACGTAATGTAAAATAGAATCTACATCATGAGTACATGACATACAATGTCATTCTTAAGTTGAAAATGGTGGAACACGTAGACTTGCATAAATAATAGCAGCCAGCTCTCCCAAACGAGGTGTCGGCAATAATTAATAAAGCAGCTAATTAGCTAGCTGCTTAATAATTAATTCATATATAATACATGCAATAATTCTTGATCAATCTTGATTTTACGAAATTACATGCATTCTTGATTAGTAAACATCACACAAGGGAGAAATAATAATTCATTAATTATTTTCCCAGATGAGATGAAAGATGTTTTGCTCATTTATACCCATTGTTCTCTGAGTTAAGTTCTTGATGGATTAATAAACATCACACAATGACGAAATAGAAATTCATTTTTTCAATTCCCAGATGAGAATGAAAGATGTTTTGCTCATTTGTACAATTTTACCTAATAAATGGTAATAATGTTTAATGATTATGAAATTTCCTCCATTTTATTGTGTTCTTTGTTAAATTCAGGGAAGTGAATTAGCCAAAGAAAGATATTACGAAGAAGGTGTAAGAATATTTTTCCATGCGTTTTTTACAGAATTTCTTTTACATATAAATGTGGGAATTTATCAAATTTGGTGTGTGCATGTGCCCGACATGCCTCCTACCTACATAGAAAAACGACTCAGGGGTCGAAACTCAACCTATATACAGAATGAAAATGGTAAATTGTTTTTAAACAATTTTCGAAATGAATTTTTCATATGTAATTTAAATAAATAGGCACTCATATGAAAATGATAGATTGTTTTTGCTTTGTTTCTCAGTCGTGTCATGTAAGTATTGAGTGAATTATACCCTATTTTTAAAATTTGGGAAAATAATCTATAGTGTGCATCAAATTTTGTTGATTTTACGTTTAGATAATGCTGATTTTTCAGAAGTCATAAATTTTTACTCGTAATGAGTTACGGGGGCCAAAATATATCAAATCGAACATATTTCAAAACTCTATACTCTTAAACTTTCAGCGGGGTCAGTTGACCACCGTGACCCCCCCCCCCCCCCCCCCCCCCGCTCCACCCCTGTACCTACACCCAAGACTTTGCCCTTTAATGCCTTTTAATGTGTACAGTATTCAACAAGGTTTTGAAAAACATTAGTAATGAAACTTATTTACAAATATATGCATGATTAATAGTTAAATTACTATAATTTTGTTTAACAGACACTTAAGTATAAGAATTGAACATAAGTTATTAAGACTAAGTCCCTATTACTACAAAAATTATGGGATTGACACATTTTTGGCACAAATTTATCGATAATTTTGTGTCAGATACCTTGTTAATTCCAAAATGTTTTGGGCACAAATTTAGCATATCTCACCAAAATCCTTTATAAATTTTGACGAATACTTTATAACATTTGTAGTGTATTAAAGTCACTATATTTTAGGAAGTCAAGTTTTGAAGATTTGAAGTAAAAACACTATATTGAACTTTAAAAAGGTTTACTGCCCAATTCATTATGCCCTCATATATATAAGCATACTTCTTTGTCGAATACTCGAATACACCAAATCAAGTTATTCAAGAGTCACTTAAAAACTAATGTAATGACATCAAAGAATTAAGATGAAATTATAGTAGGGCTTATATATTGTTCGTATTAAGAATAAAATACACATGAAATTGTACATTATCATACCAGATCAGGCCACTTAAACAAATCAACAAAGCCCAAACCAATTTAAATTAAGGGCATGTTTGGCATTAGCGGATATCGGATATCAGATTATGTTAGCGGGTTGTCAATAATGGATGCAGTCAGCGGGTTTGACTAACGGAATAAGTTGACGGGTTGTTAGAAGGTGTTTAGTAATTTAACTGTTTAATCATATAAATTAGTAGAAAATATCATATTTCAAAACGTTAATATAAAACTCTGCTATTTGCCGCGTTTTCATTTTAGCGGTTTCTTCCAAAACTCTAGGAATGAAAAGCTATTTACCAAACATCGTTTCCACTTATTGAAAACGTTAATTATAAAGAGGATCAAACCCGTCATTTTTTTTGTTGAAATGTCACTTTCAATAAAATTGTAGCTTTCAGCAGAAAAAAATCGACCAAGATGTCAAAGTTCCAATATTACATAGTCCTTTGCTCCGATAAAATTTTATCAATAGGTAACAAGTCTCAAAGAAACCCAAATAATATGATGGCGAAGTAGTTTCCGTACAAAGAAAGCTACAATTGTATTGAAAAATATAATTAAATAAGGAGAATGCACATAGTCTAGAGGGATAAAGGTGGCATATTTTTGTTTATTGTCAATTCCAATTATCATACGGAGTAATAAATTAAAAGTGGATTTGAGTTTAAGGATGTTTTTACTTGGATTGTAATTCGTCCCAGATCAGACCAGACCAGACCAGACCAGATCAGACTAGACCAGACCAGACCAAATCAGACCAGACCAGACCAGACCAGATTAGACCAGACCAGTTCAAACCAGACCAGACCAGACCAGACCAGACCAGACCAGACCAAACTTGGATATTTATAAAAATACAAAGAAATCAAACCAGACCAGACCAGACCATTTCAGACCAGACCAGACTAGACCAGATCAGACCAGACCTCTCATATTAAAAAAGTAGTAGAAATAAACAAATGTATTATACTTCATCCTCTCATATTTAGAAACTTGCTATTCTATATTTGAGGCAAAAAACAATTTAGCATATCTGAAATGGCAAGAAGAAGTGAATGGAACCCTTTCCTTCACTACGAATTGAACAATTTCAAAGGAATTCACAGCCTCCAAAATCTCAGACACAACAATGTAGCTCAAACATAGATTGCCTCAAGCCTAGGATCAATAGAAATAGACGGGACACCATATTACGTTATTTTAAAATTCTGAATCAATTAAATTTAAAGAATAAGGTCAAACTATCAACCAAAATGTGTAGTTAACAACTTAACATATTATAAGTTATAACCACATGTCCAAAGATGCTTTCATAAATTTATCATTCCAGGAAAATGGCCAAATAGTGAAAGAACACAGTTTACCTTAAGAAACAACTTTAGAACAACCACAAAATCTCAAGTTGATAAATTCAGGCACCTATCCAAGATCACCTGAGAGTAGAAAAATCATAAAAAATCAAGTGACTGAAATAGGTTTTGCAAGTAAACTAATTTACCACAAACAAACGATTTAGAAAATACAATAAAACATGTCATTTATTCAAATCAGAAACAAAGAAGACAACAAAACACTAACAGCCATGTAGCACATTCAAGATAGCCTGAAATTAACATTGCTTCTCATATTTTCCATCCATAAAAGTTAAAATTGTCAATAAATAGAAAAAAATCTAAGTAGCAGAGAATAGTCATAGTATTTGCAAATAGGGTTTTCTTAATTTTTGACGTATGAGTTCTCCACTTTCAATTCCTTCTATTTATGTTGGTCAAAGCATAATAAAAATAAAATCATAGTTAAAAACACCATAAAATTGAATCAATAGGCAGACTGGGATCTATTTGAGAGAAACCCTATAAATTTAGGGAGAGAACTAAAAGAAAGCAGCTTGAATCCCTTATTAGCATGTGATTTCTCTCCCTTGCTAAGGAGGTGAAAAGCTAGAAATACAAGTAAGATAAATGCTATTGTAAAGAATGTTGTACTATGTCATTCTATCTCAAACTTTTATTTTATTGATTTGCTATTTTCAGCTATGCACCTAGGACCATGTTAAATCTCAAACTCTAAAACTCTTATTTTACAAGTTTGATGTTTCTAGCTAAATTCTAATGAATTCCAAAAACCATATTCGAAAACAATAAAGTTTGATACTAAAAAACATAGAATAAAAAAATGTTCACTAAGAAAAGTAAAACTGCAAATCATTTGGGGAGAAAGGAAGTATTATATCACTGTATGCTTAATCGCTCATGATCCTAGGAGGAAGAAATATTGAACTTCTTCTATACAAAAAGCCAGAAATGGTTTTGTTCAATAGATTTAGCATCCTATTATTGTGTGTTGATACTTAGTACTTCAATCATGGTTGGAGCTGAGTCCTATGGATTCTGTGATGGATGTGAAGCTTTTTCTTTGTTGAAATATAAACTACAATGCTATTAAAGATGGAGAGAAGGATTTTCTGTGTTTTTCATTAGAGGGTTAAGGCCCTATATATATATATTACAAAGATGGAATATTCCTATATAAGATGCTATACAATAATAATGTCTAGAGTATATTCCTAAAGCATATTCTAGAGCATATTCCTAAAACATATTCCTAGATACAATAATACTTTTACACTCCCCCTCAAGTTGGAGCATAGATATTTATCATGCCCAATTTGTTACATAAGTAATCAACTCGAATCCCATTTAGAGCTTTAGTGAATAAATCTCCAAGTTGTTCTCCAGTCTTCACATACCCGGTAGAGATTAATCCTTTTTGTATCTTCTCTCGAATAAAATGGCAATCAACCTCAATATGCTTTGTTCTCTCGTGAAATGCGGGGTTGTTTGCTATGTGTATAGCAGCTTGGTTATCGCACCACAACTGAGCAGGCATTGGTGTCTTCAATCCAATTTCATTCAATAAATGGTGTGTCCATATTATCTCACATGCGGATTGTGCCATAGCTCGATATTCTGATTCAGCACTAGAACGAGAAACCACATTCTGTTTCTTACTCTTCCAGGATACAAGATTACCACCAACAAAGACACAATAGCCAGATGTAGATCTTCGATCATCTTTAGAACCGGCCCAATCAGCATCTGCAAAGCATTCTATTCTCATGTGATCATGGTTTTGATAAACAATACCTCGTCCTGGTGCTCCCTTTAAGTAACATAATATGTGTTCTACAGCAGCCCAATGATCAATGGTCGGAGATGACATGTATTGACTCACTACACTCACAGAATAAGCAATATCTGGACGGGTGACTGCGAGATAATTAAGCTTTCCAACCAGTCTTCTATATCTTTCTGGGTCTTCAAACGGTGTGCCTTCTTGAGTGAGTTGCACGTTGGGAACCATGGGTGTTGTACTTGGTTTTGCCCCTAATTTCCCTGTCTCAGCTAGTAAGTCAAGTACATATTTACGTTGAGATAGAAATATGCCTTTCTTACTTCGTGTTACCTCAATTCCCAGAAAGTATTTCAAAGAGCCAAGATCTTTCGTCTGGAATTGACTATGCAGAAAATTCTTAAGGGCCAAAATACCTGCATTATCACTCCCTGTAATCACAATATCATCAACATATACCACAAGCAATGTGACACCTGATTCTGTTTGTTTGTAAAATACAGAGTGGTCTGATTTGCCTTTTATCATTCCAAATTGTTCAATTGATTGACTGAATTTCCCAAACCATGCACGAGGACTCTGTTTCAGACCATAAAGAGATTTGCGAAGTCGACAAACTTTACCATACTCCCCCTGAGCAACAAATCCCGGAGGTTGCTCAATATAGACTTCTTCCTTAAGGTCACCATTCAAAAATGCATTTTTAATGTCCAATTGATGTAAGTGCCAATCATGAATTGCAGCGAGTGAGATAAGTAACCTGACAGATGTTAATTTAGCAACAGGAGAAAAAGTGTCAGAATAATCAACACCATAGGTTTGAGCATAACCCTTCGCAACTAATCGGGCTTTTAACCGAGCAACGGATCCGTCTGGGTTAACCTTAACAGCAAAGACCCACTTACATCCAATAGATTTCTTCCCTGTAGGTAAGTCAACCAAATCCCATGTACCATTAAGATCTAAAGCATTCATTTCCTCTACCATGGCTTGACGCCATTCAGGATGAGACAGAGCTTCTTTGACAGATTTGGGAACAGAAATAGAATCAATGGAAGCAATAAAAGAACATGAAGCAGGAGATAACTGATTGTACGACACAAATGAAGAAATAGGATGAGTACAAGACCGTGTACCTTTACGTACTGCTATTGGGAGATCAAGTTCTGATGTGGAAACAAGATCTGAAGATGCAGATACTGGTTCAGGACATGAGATCGGAGTCGAACTAGTATCAAGAAAAGTAATCTCAGGTATCGCTGGTGGAGGGTGATCAGGTGCTTTGTGTCGACGGGTGTATACCAAATGTACGGGAGGCCTAGGGTCATGAACAGTAACTTGTGGAATATCTGTCGAAAGTGTGGACTCAGGAATAGTCATCGTGTAAATGAGAATATCATCATTACTCTCACGAATATATGCCTTAGATGATGAAAAAGGTGTATTTTCATGAAATGATGCATCAATAGAAACAAGATACCGACCAGTACTCGGACAAAAACATCTATACCCCTTTTGGACTCGAGAATAACCCAAGAAAATACATTTTAATGATTTCGGATCTAACTTTGTTAGATGAGGATTAACATCTCTAACAAAACAAGTGCAACCAAATATTTTAGGTGGGATAGGAAAAAGCTCTCTGTTTGGAAATAGACAATGATAAGGAGTTTTACCATTCAAAACAGAAGATGGCATTCGATTTATCAAAAAACATGCAGTAGACACGGCATCTGCCCAAAACTGTTTAGGCACATTCATTTGGAATAGAAGAGCCCTTGCAGTTTCTAACAGATGTCGGTTCTTTCGTTCCGCAACTCCATTTTGAGGAGGTGTATCAACGCATGAAGTTTGATGAATAATGCCATGTTGAAGCATAAATGACTTAAATGTAGCAGATAGATATTCTTGGGCATTGTCTCCTCTTAACACCCGAACAGGAACGTTAAACTGAGTTTTAATTTCAGCACAAAAGGAAGAAAAATGAGTGAACAACTCAGATCGACGTTTTATGAAATACAACCATGTCATACGAGAATAGTCGTCAACAAAGGTAACAAAATATTTAAAACCAGCTTTAGACACAACCGGGCAAGCACCCCAAACATCAGAGTGAACAAGGTCAAATGGAGCATTTGCTCGTTTATTAACTCGCGGGCCTAAGCTAGTACGATGGTGTTTCGCAAATTGACATGACTCACATTGTAAAGAGGTCATCTTATTAAATTGGGGATTTATTTGCTTCATTAATGGGAGAGATGGATGTCCTAATCGGTAATGAGCATCTAACAAAGTCCCAACCCCAAGACAAGAGATACCTTTGGTGATGGATGTATCCAAAATATATAGACCGGCTGACTCATGTCCTTTACCAATAATCTGCATCGTTAACAGATCCTGAAACACACAATATCCCGGAAAAAATGTTACAGAACAGTTAAGAGTACGAGTGATTTTACTGATGGAAAGCAGATTAAATGCAAAATTAGGAAGACTCAAAACAGGCGATAATGGTAATGTAGAAGTTGGAACAACAGTACCAGATCCAAGAACGGGTGAGGTAGATCCATCAGCTAAAGTGACACTAGAAGTAGGTAAATATGAATGAAATGACGAGAATAGACTAGGATTACCGGTCATATGATCTGTGGCACCTGAGTCAATGACCCATTTCGAGGATGAGGAAACAAGACACGTGTTTGAAATACCTGAATTAGCGGATACCGAGATAGGGACAGAGGAATGCTTTAGAGTTTCTTGGTAGCAAATAAATTTGGCATACTCGTCTGAAGAAATAGCAATTGATCCATCGGATGAACTGGTAGCGGAAGCAACATGAGCAAGCTGATTTCCTTGATTTTTGAACAGCAATTTTCTACATTCTTTGATCAAGTGTCCGGGCTTCTTACAGTAATTGCATATTACTCCTCTGTCAAATCCACTCGTACAAGACATTTTTTTTTTTTAATTTCTTTTTTTTTTTTGTTTTTTTTTTATGAGAATGTAATTAAGTTCAAAATTGAGATATCCAATGAGAACTTACAGCAGCCCATTTGTGGACTCGACCTTGGAGAATAAAGTTGGGCTTTGACTGAGCAACCCGTTTGTGGACTCAACCTGAAGAGTAAAAGATCCAACTGTTTGGGCTTTGACTGCTAATCCAGACGGAGGGTCGATGCTTGAGTGCCAGACCTCAAAGAAGAACAGCCAGACAAAGGAGCGTGCGTATGTCCGTTACGAAGCCTGGAAGGAAGAAAAGATTTCTGCGTAGCCTGGACGATCTCTTTTCGATGTCAGCGTACTGAAGAGCTGGAAAGAAACGCAACCATCCCAAAGAGAAGCTACAGCAGAAGATAAGCGATATGCAGGCGAGCTGGATGGCGTTTTCCGATCCGAAATCTGGCCGCAGAATGACGTCACGTGCCGGCACGTGAGTTGAGGTCAGCGGGCTGTGGCAGCGCGTACGTCTCAGTCGCGTAGAGTTTGGGTGTCGGACTTTGGTTTCTGGGTCGTCGAAGGTAGCCGCACCACCTGGGTACGGTGGTGATGAAATGTGTGGTCTGAGAATTTCTTAGGTCTGGTGGGGTGGTGGGGCAGACTGTATGCTAAGGAATTTTCTAGGAAATTAGCTCAGGCTAATTGATTTTCTGGGAAATTAGAATGGTGCCTAGAGGTTATGAAGAATCTGATAAAACTGAACTCAAGTTCCTTGAAGGAAGAATCCAGTCTGAAAATTAAACTGAAATATGAAAAACTAAACTAAAATGGAAGGCTCTGATACCATGTTGAAATATAAACTACAATGCTATTAAAGATGGAGAGAAGGATTTTCTGTGTTTTTCATTAGAGGGTTAAGGCCCTATATATATATATTACAAAGATGGAATATTCCTATATAAGATGCTATACAATAATAATGTCTAGAGTATATTCCTAAAGCATATTCTAGAGCATATTCCTAAAACATATTCCTAGATACAATAATACTTTTACATTCTTCTTGATGCTTCAGAGACATGTTTCTTTACTTGCTATGACCTCTTATTATATTACACACTAAAGAAGGGCCTTATGTTCTAGAGAAATATAATGAAATTTCTGATGTGTCTGATATAACATCTGGAAATGTTCCTTCGAGATGGTTACTGGAAAATCTGTCTTATATACATTGCACATTTTAGAGCTGCATTCTGCTGACTAAATTTTCTAAATAAAAGTTTGGTTATTGTCTTTCAGCATTATATCATGGTCGATCTAATTTATGTTAAATTGACATGTGCAATTAAATTCATTACTTTGATTTTTGAATAATATTAGTGACATAAATTTATTTTTATTGCATTCAGACTTGCTGGAGATTTAATTTATCCCAGTTCCCTTGCGCCAAATGAATGCTTGACAGAAAAGAGTTAAAACCAACCATGGTTGCACTGGCACTACCAAATGTGTTTGGGTGGAGAGGCTCATTCTCAAGTGAATCAGCTTCACTATGATTCCTTCTTATATACTACGTGTCTACGTATGAAGGATTCTTCGACATGAACGTTTCTATGTAAACCTCCGACGGTGAGAAGCCCTGGCTATTCGCATTTTCTACTGTTTTTTTTCTTGCTTTAGCAAGTTGCTGGTAGCTTGGGAAGACAACCTCTGAGTTTTGAATTCTTTTGTACTTATGCATATTTGGGACCAATATCGAGATATTGCTAATGGTTACGATTATTCATATGTATTTTTCCTTTGCTACAGATTTGTGAGGTGGGTGAGGATCAAGTCTTGAGAGTAGGTGTCTTGCAAATTCAGTTCTCAAGCATTCTCTGTAATGCGATATCCAACATGTGTACAAATGCTTTTGAGAATTCTTCATTAAAAATACAAAAAAAAAATGCTTTCTCGTTTTTTTTCCAAGATTGGGCATCAACCGTCGCGCAACGCGCGTGCCCAAGCTAGTATGTATATATATACAGTCTCTAACAGGTCCTTAGCAAAACATACCATACGGCCATACCTATTCTCACGTATTACATAGATTATCTCAATGGAAAATCTAGGACCAAACAAACATGCTCTTACACAGACTTCATTTAGATATGGTATTATAAAGGGAAGTCTACCATGAATAAAGTATAATGATTTTCCCTAGCTAATATGATCACCAACATAATATTTCTAGCTTTCTATATGTAATGATATTCTTTATTAAATTAATGACATACTATATCTATGACCAAATAATTAAATAGTATCTTAGGAACAATAAGGATGTTTTTACTTGGACTGAATTTTTCTGGTCTAGTCTGCTCTGATCTTGTCTGAAATAGTCTAGTCTGGTAAAAGTCTGGTCACTGTGTATTTTATAACATCCAAGTCTGGTCTGATATGATCTGGTCTGGTCTAAGACCGAAAACGGTCCAAGTAAAAACATCTTAAACATAGTAGTAGTCATATTTAAAGAGTAGATATATTTTAGTCTTAATGTGACCAATAATTTCTACTCGTAATTATTAAATTTATTTAATATTAAGGAGTGCACTTACATTGGTGTGTTGAAAATTATATGGAGTAATTATTTTTAAAGAGATACTTTCTCTGTTTTTTTATAGTTGCGACACTTTTGATTTTACACTATTCACAAATCTTACTTTGATCATAATTTTATGTTTATATAAATAATCAAATTATTATGTATAAAATAATACGAGTATTAGATTTTTTCTAATGTGAACTTCTAAAATATTAAATTTTTTCATTTTTTACTAATACATAATTAAATATAATTTCTGTCAAAGTTGTGTGTTCGCAAGCATGAAAGTCGAACTGTTGCAATTATAAGAGAATGGGGTAATATATGCCTTTTGCTACCCCTATCATTATTAATTAGTAATATTGTAATAATCATAACCCTTTTGAGACCCTTAAAAAATATTGAAAAGTTATAATTATCTTTGTTGTTTTTGTTAAATTATTTGCAATTTTCACATTTTAATCTCTTTAGACCGCATGCAATGGAGGGGGTGAAACCCCCAACTTTAAAATTTTCACTCCAAATGTGCTTGCAGTAAAAACATATACAAAAGGCGTGTTATAGTGGGTTAGGGAAATCCCTATTCGAAGAAAAATATGCGGGCTCCACACAAAATAAATTCCTAATTTTCTTTAATTTGACATAACT